CAACTCCTACCTTCTAACAAGAGTGAAGTTAAAAGTGGTTATAGCAACAAATAACAGTCCTGTAGCTACTTGTATATAAAGGAGACAAGAGAGCTGAAGCTGAGCAAATTGGAGGTCGTCTTTTTTTTTGGTAAAGAGCACACTGAGCAAGGGTGAGCAGTCAAGACACGATGTGACGGACGCGACACGCGCATCATGTAATTTGTGACGGTCTTTCACTTGATTAAAAAATTCGAAATCGAACTGTCATACCGTCGTGAAACTCTACACTTTTTGCAACCAACCCGAATGGCCTACCTTTTTTTTCAACATGGAATCGTGGCCTCAGCATGACTAGTAAGTATTCAAACGCACTACTTGCATCATCTACTGAAGCCAGTAGAGGGACTCGGGTTAGAGGCGCCCCATTTCATGATGCAAATAACGAATCGAAACTATCGAATATGACCCAATTATAACATTATACAGTTGGACACACTTCAATGCTACGTGAACTTTGTTTATTATGGGGAGAAATCTTCGTTTATTCGATTCCGTATTAGTCGTGCAACACAGAGGGCTCGTCTTGTAATGATTACCAGCGCTTAGGGGATTAACCACCCGAACCGAGGTCCCGTACATCCGAGATGTACTCGCCTAGGTCAGGAGTGCACCAATATGCTGCTATTTTCGTATCTATATTTGTTGCTCCCGGCCCCACTTGTTCCTGAAAGAAGGCCTTCAAGTGCTTCTTAAAAAGGAACAACTGTCTATTTGTTGGTCTAGTCTTATTTTCCCCTGTCATCACCTTCTAGCTACGGAGCATTCAGGACATAGGTCACATCGAGTGTACTAGGTCTGGAAGTCTTCGTGATCGGATCACACCTATCTCGGAGTAAGGAACTTGCGAAGAAAGTTCCTTACCATGGACCTAATGATGGCCTAGAAGACGAACATGTGCACGGTTCTGGTAAGTTGCCTGGTATTTCTCTAGTGCGAGTTGACAATGCATTCGGGTATCCTTTCCACGCTAACAATGTAGAATGTACTGTTTATACGCCCACTCTTTTGTCCGTCTTCTCCAGGCCGTGGACAATTCGATGCTTCAGTTCTGTACCATTTTCCGTCGAAAATATCAATATCTTCTCATTCGGCAGCTATATTCTGGGATTGCTCTATGATCGGAAGATCGGAGCGTTTTGAAGAAGATCCCTCGTCATGCCAGACACCTAGATCTCCGAACCCCACGGAACCGAAAGCAAACCGTCTACTCCACTATGTACCTTTAAACATAGTCTAGATAATTAATCGGATCATTTCAATACAAGAAAACGTTCTAGCTGGTGTCGTTCATTGAGAAAAAGGACGGTATAAAGGCAGCGTCGAAGATATGCTAAGACTTCAGGTCGTCTCTCTACGACTGCAATAACCTCAACCATGCTCTTCACAACAATCCTGCTCGTCTCTTTGCATCTCAGTGCTCTCAGTGCTAGGCTTGACTCTCGTCGTCCGAAAACACCTGGACTGGACCTATGCCCATCAGCGTTTCTCACAGACTCGAGAGCAGTCAACGTCGGTGGCCACACGATCCAGCACAGCACATTCGCGTGTCCAGATGACAGTTTATCCAAAGCCTCATTAGCAGCCAAAAGTACAGTAGATAATGTCACTAACGATATTTCGCGTCGTTCTGTTGCCGAGTGCAGGGCAAGTGTTCCCGAGTGCCAGTGTGGTCAACAAAGTACGCATTGTTTATCATTGTAAATAAATGGATGCTTATCTGTTTCGATTCATATATTAGCTTCTGGAAAGTGCAAGAACTGGACAAGCAGTGCGCCCACAGGAAATGACTGTGCAATCCTGTTAGATGGCTTGCAAGTCGTTGCCGAACAAACTGGTGCAACGTTCTTGGTGGCAAACAACTCTATGGACCTCCTCACTTTCCAGACTTGTGCAGTGGGATTTGTCAACTTGGGGACCTTCCAGGGAGCAACGAGCATAGAATATTGCTGGGATGAACTGGTGAGAATTTAAAAGATTATTGTATTCGTTCGCATCTAGACGAAAGTTGACGTTACAACTTGCGTACCTTCATTAGAGATCCGATCTTGGCGTTCTGTATCAGAATTGTATCGCGTCCGGAGCCTCGACTAGTGTCGAAAACATTGCTAATAACGGATTCTGGCTACAACAGTACGTGATTACTTGCCCTTGCAGCTTACTCACGCTTGTAGTAACACCAATTACATCTAGAATCTTCCGCTTCAGCCCCTGAGGCAAAGGCACTAGTTATATGTCTTGGGAGCTTTCTGTCATCAAAACTTGGAGATTGGATCGGATGAAGGAAAGTAGAGTCTTAGTAGACTATACTATTTCAGACGTGTACAGTTGTGTGACTGTTAATGCTTGATGAATGCTGGATCTCTGTTTGAATCTTTGCAACACTGAGAGCTACTTGCAGAGGGTATTTCACCTTTCTGTGGAGTAGTGACCTTACCAGGTATTAGCAGGTTGAGCTTTAAGCAGTACAGTAATAAAGGAAGCATTTGTTACTGTCATTTTCATAAATATTAGGCGTGGTCAAACCTCGCGATTCTCTGCGCGATTCACCTTGCGATTCTAGAGGGTGAATCGCAAGGTGAATCGCGCGTGCAGGTTTGACCAGCACACTTGTACATGCGCGATTCACCTCAATATACCGACCCTTGATCTTAAAATTACATAATATAAAATTAAAGAAATAGTTTTTTTTCGTGCATATACATTTGGCCATGTCAAGAAGGACTTGATATGTGTGCAGTGATGTGCAAGAAGACGACAGAGCTTGGTAGCAGAGAACACAAGGATTTTTGGCAGAACGGAGGACAGTATGTATGCTGTAGTTC